AAGTCATCTAGGATGTTCCAAACTGCTGATGTGTCTTGGAGACACAAGTGTGCCATCATGGCCGCTGTGCTGGGTTAGAGCCCTGGCGCCTGAGGCCACCAGATACACGGCTACTTTGAAAAGACTGTTGCTTCCGAAAACCTTAATCACAGCTCACGTTCACCGCGCCTTCAGGCCCAGGCGCTCCAAGAAATCTCCAAACTAAATGCCAATTATTCCTGCATCCCAGGGCCAGAAGCAGCTATTCTTACCGCAGTCCAGCACCTATGGGCCCCCAATCTTTCTATCTGGCACCTTGATGGGGAGCTCATTATCCTCCTAGGCAGCTCTCGCCAGTGCTGGGCATATCTAATTGCCAGAACCTTCCTTTTAGGATGCACTGCAATCAATCCCTCAGGCTTCACCCATAGGTCCGGATTCTCCTAATTGGACAATGCCAGTGACGGTGAGTGACAGCAGGCCGGCTGAGCCTCCTTGTGGAATTCAGATAAAAGGATTATCACTGTAGCCAAGAACTGAAGGCCTTTAAAAAGAGAACTCTGGAAAAGCTAAAGGGGGGGGGGAAGAACTACTTTTCTCATTTTCTATTTTTCACCAAACTCCTAAACCTTTTCCAAGTTGTAAGCATCAAACCCTCGACTTTCGTGCCCAGCTTTTTAATCCTCGCTTTCTGCGGGCTGGAATGAGGCTCAGAACGTTTACTGGCCTGCTTGTCCACTGGGCCTTAGTGCTGATGGAGGACAGCAGCGATGTTCATTTAGATAAACATCTTCCTCTGGACTCACTAAAATGCTCCACATTCCTTGTCAAACAGTAGCTCCCAGGTGCCCTTGTTAGCAAGACAGAATGCAAACCAGAGAAGCAATCAGAGGCAAAAGGAATCACCGACTTTGGTACTGACAGATAATCTGATTATGGGAGAAAAATTTTGCTGCTTTTATCTCGAAATGATTCCATGGGGTTGGCTGTTTTTGTCACAAGAACTAGGGAGACATTTTTCAGACATACCAAAGTTTAAAAACTTTATCCTGTCCCCATGCCCCTCAGGGAACCCTTCCATCTCTCCCAATGTGTCTTCTTGTAATTCCAAATGGGAATGGCCTGTTTAGGAAAGACGACAAAAGGAAATTTGGTTTTGGAGAATTTCTATCTTGCAGGTAAATGCTACAAATTAACAAGAGATTATGAAGGGGAAGAGTCCTTTTACACACAGTATCTTGACAGAGTACTCCTCCTTATCACGTGTGCTGCAGCAGATTCCAAAACCTGGTGCTGAGGGGAAGAATCTGGAAAGATCTGGAAGGTTCAGGCAGGCATCAGATGGCTGTACTTGCTCAGGAATGCACCTCCCAAATGCAAGAGAAACGCTTGACATTTATTTTTATGTTTTAGAAAACATTATGATTACAGTTAGAATTTCCCTGCAAACTCCCAGCCCACACAGGAGGACCCAAGGTAGGTTTCGAGTCTGATAACCAAAGGGTCTGTGATGGTGAAGAGAGAGGTGCCAGGGCCTCGTGGACGGTCTGCTTTTCCTCAATTGCCGGTCCTAATACCCTCGCAAGACTTAGTAAAGGGTTGAGGAGATTATAGGCTGTGAATGATGGAAAAGAAAATGACATAATTTCTGTGATAATTACTATAGGACATTTGCATAAAGGCTTTTATGCATCATGTGAAGGCTTCCAAGAAAGTTACAGGTTTCATTAGCATGTACAATAGGCACGGAAGCTGTCAAATTTTGGAAACAAAGAGGAAGGGAGGGAATAAGTGAAGCTGTGCTCTGCAAGGGCCCAAATTAAGTCATACTTGGTGATTTAAGAACTTCAGTGTAGAGAGACGCTATTTGCTCCTGACTACTGTCCCGGATGAGAAGATGCAAGCAAGTCCAGGAACGCCACCCGCACAAGAAGACCACTGATGGGGTTTTAAGGGTTCCTCTTTAAGGCAGGAGCTAAGACGGCATTCTAGTTGTCATCATCCCTCTACAACAAAGACCTGAGAAACCAAGTGACACCTGTGCAGGTAATCCTGGAACCCCAGCATCAGAGCAAAGGACAGAGAAGGAACCAGGCACTGGATGGAAGGAGGAAAACCGTAAAGGAGGCGAGAGATACAAAGCAGAGGGCCCTGCCAGGTGGATCGGCGCACAGCTCTGTAATTCTGAGATAGTGCAAGCTGCGTTTCCGCAACAAGGCAGAGACACAGTGTAGACAAGTCTGGAGTGAGGGAGAGAGCGAGCACAAACCAGATCTCAAGAAGCAAAAGGGGGAGAGAACTCCAGAGATGAGGTCACTGCAGAGGTGGGCGGGAGCCAGTAAACAGGGCTGGGAGGCTTCGTGCTGCTGAAGACACTGGACTCAGGTGCTACCAACCCCACCCTGCTGTATTAGGTTCAGGCAGGAACTGGTCGGTGGGCTGTGCTATCCCAGGAGTGCCCCAGCACCCACGCCAGATGACTCTCGCCTCCATTTCCCCCCAGGGTCCTCTTGTGTGCTCCCTCAACACAGCGTCTGGTGATGCACCCTCTGCTGTCTCTCCCCACCTACACCCTGCAGCCTCTCTGTCTCACCAGGCAGCTGCCAGTGTGCCCACTCCCCAGGATTACACACTGCATGGCTGGGGACATGCACTTGTGGCCACTGCTGCACGGCTTCCCAGGGGACCGAGGGCATGCACTCCCATGGACTGAGCATCACGTGCCTGCAGACGCAATGTGTGTCAGCACTGAAGCAACGGGCCCCTCACTTCTGACCCAGCCACGTGAAGGCAGCGGGCTGGGCAGTGCCAGGTGTTTGCTCTACCCCAGGCCCTGCAGACCCAGCCAAGCTGCTGGAGGTCACTCTGGCTCAGGAAGCTGCTCTCCCTGCCCTTTCCACCTGTGGGCTCTCTGGACTCCTGCCCCTATCTGACTCCCTGTCCTGAGAGGCAGCGGCCGTTCAACCATACATGTATGCATTTCCTCCTCTCTCCTCCCTCCCTCCACCTGGTAAAGAGGTGGAGGCGGCGTGACTCTGTGTAGGCACCTGCCCACCACTCATTCCCCTAACAGTCCCTGTGGCACCTGTGTCTGCCTATGATGCAATGCCCCACAGGACCTGCTGAAAGGCACTGGTGCTGTGACCCCACATGTTTACCCCTCTGCAGCTCGGCTCCCCTTTGTCCTGCCCATACCCCTTCACTTGACAAAAGTAGACGGGGTGTTTCTGTATGCACGCTGGCTGGCCCCACACAGCCCTCTGCACTGTGCAGGAGGTATCAGCAGAGATTGTATGCTCACTCATCCACCACTCATTCCTGCATCCAGCAAGAGGCCACAGCTGTGAAATGAAAACCGTATGTATCCACGTTGGTAGGTGCCGTCAACAACTCTTGCATGGTAGAAAACAGTTATTGGTTACCACATGTCCACACAACTAGAAACAGAGACCCACATCTACACTGCTACCTGCTACCTCACCCACCTAGAGACATTCTGCTCTTCTTCCCAGCCTGGAAATAGCCCCAGACTGGAGGCCAAATGCTTTTTAAAATACGAGGCCAAATCTAATCAGCTCATACCCAGTTGCAAGCAACAGCCACACACCAAGTCTCAACCCAAGTCAACTGGATGTGAAGTGATTGGATTTGGCCTCTGATTTAAAAAGGCATTTGGGTCCTTGGGCCTTTGGCCCTCAGGCCTAGTTTTTGTGGAGCTCCCGAATAAAACAGGCTTGGAAGCAGGAGTGGCATCCACTTCCAAAAAAAAGCTTGCCTCCAGAAACTCTATGAACATGGAGAAAAGATGAAAATTTCATGTTTAAGACTTTCATTCATAGGGTCACTAGGGGTTGTCTACAACTCAACAATACTTAACAACAACAACAACAACAACAAAAGTGGGTGGTTGTTATGTCCTGTCCAGTCTCCTGCAACTCATAGTGAACCTATGCACAATAGCTCTGAGCCCTGCTCTATCCTGAGCCAATCACTGTCTCTGACACATCTACCCTCATTATCCCAGTTATTGTGTCAATCCATCTCATCCAAGGTCTTCCTCTCCTGCACTGTCCCATGACCCTTCCATGCATGATATCTTTCTCCAAAGACTGGTCCCTCCCAGCAAAACAACCAAAGTTTGTGAGATGGAATCTCAAAATCCTTGCCTAGGAGCAGCTAGGTTTCACCTTCTCCAGGGCAGACCTGTTCTTTTGGCAGTATGTGGTATGTTCAATACTCTTCTCTAGCACCACACCTCAAAGGCTTTGAAATCTTCTTCTGTCATCCTTGGTCACTGTCCAGCTCTCTGATGCATGGCAAGAATTTCAAAGACCATGGCTTGGATCAGGAGCATCTTAGTCTTTAGACTGACAGACATCCTTGTTCTTCAGCTCTCTGGAGAGGTCCCTGACCGCAGATTACCCTAATGCGATCCGCCTTTCGATTTCAAGCTGAACAGGTGTGAAATATTCTGTGGGTGTATATTCACCAGTATATAGAGAGTTGGAAGAAGATATTCCTGCATCTGTATTTGTACGTGTAGCAAATATATCCACGTATATATAGGAGACACATGGAACAAAGCTACAACAACTTCTCAGCCATAACCAAAAGCCTTGAGAGAATAAGTTTCTAGGCTTGAGGACTCAGGAATGTAATCTTGAGGGCCATTCAAAGACAGTCAACATAACTGCTACATTCTAGATCCAGATCTTAGATTTGTAAGCATCATCTACCATGCAGCAACTAGTGTCCTACTTGGAACAAAGGAGAGAAGTGAAAGCTTCAAGAAAACACAACACCAGAACCAGTCTCCATCAGTCGGACATGAGAAGAACTAGATGGTGTTCTAGAACATTCTGGAATGGAAATGGGGAACACAGGGAGGAAACGGGAAGAGGACTGTTATACTGAGGGGACTGCAATCAGTTTTATAAAACAAAATGTGCACAAACTGGCGAATGGGAAACTAATTTGCTCTGTAAGCTTCCATCCAAACCACAGTAATTTTTTTAAGTTACCTTTTTTTGCTTTTTTCTGCAGCTTCAGTGTGTCTGAGGACTTCTTTTTTATCTCTTGGCGTGCTTTTTTATATTCTAAGAGAAAGCAGAATTATAAATCATTTAATCACTTTGTCCAATAGAAAACATTTTAGGAACAAAAAAACCAGCTTTATCATAACACAGTATATGACAAACAGGTCATGGGGACATTTTCAAGAGAAGGGCTTTATTAAAATGGGAAACTATAAAACACATGATAATATTTTCCTACAAAAATCAATCATACCAGTCATGAGGATAGAAATCATTCAGATGTCTATTAACAAGATTTACTCTTTTGCCAGTGTATTTTCACTCATGTATCAGGAAAGCTTTTCAGTAATCCTCATTTCCCACAGGCCATCTCCACAGAATTTCACTTGAAAAGAACCCCATATGGGGAAGATGCTGGCCAGACTTTATAATGGATGAAAAAGTGTTGGTGTTATTTCCTTAGACCGTGAGCACCACCTCCTTCCTACACTGTCAAGGTCCTCAACAACTCCCTAAACTGTGGCAGAACCCCCAATACCGTGACCTTTAGTCACCCTTCAACCCTAGAGCAAAACTCATGCCTCCCATGGCACATAATTCAAACAGTAAACAAGCCGAGGGAGCTCTGGTGGTCTAGTGGTAAGAAGCTGTGCGGTAATCCCAAAGGCAGGCAGTTCGAATCTACCAGCTGCTCCCTGGGAGAAGGATGGGCAGCCTCCTCTTGTGTGATTAACTGCCTTTGAAAACCCGCTTTAAGGTCAACTAGACCGGTCCTTGGAGAAGGAGATCATGCTTGGGAGGGTGGAAGGACAGCGCAGGAGGGGAAGACCCTCTATGAGGTGGATTGATTTAGTGACTGGGATAATCGGGATGGGAGTGTCAGAGACAGTGCGATTGGCACAGGATAGAGCAGGGTTTAGGGCTGTTGTACATAGGGTCGCTATGAGTCGCAAGCAACTCGACGGCACATAACAACAACAACAAACAACAATAGGTCAGTCTGACTCAGAGGCACACAATCACAACCACCAACATAAGGCGACAAGTAACTGCAGGCTGGTACTCACTCCTTAGAACAGCCAACCACAAGGCATCAAAAGAGCCTCATTTACCTAAGGACAAAGCCCTGACGGCAGGAAGAGGAAGGACAGAAGGATAAGTGGAAATAATTCCAGGGGAGAGGTGGGGCAAGCGTAACTGTTCTGTGAGTACAGTAACAAGGAAAGTAATGTGAGAAAACAAAAGGTCTATGAAACGGTTCAGTGAAAATCCAATCACTCAGCTCACAAGTGTCTGTCTTGGAGGAAGAGCAGCCAAGCAGCATAGAGCACACATTCTATGTCATATACTGGGGCATGTTGACAAGAGAGTCCAGTCCTTGGAAAAAAGACATCATGCAGAGAAAGGCAGAGGGTCAGGGAAGAGGACCGTCAATGAGGTGGACTGACACAGTGACCGTGACAGTGGGCTGGTGCATGTCAGAGCAAGGTCCAGACGTGTTCACAGGGTCACTGTGTGTCGTAGTCGACTGGATGGCACTCAAAAACCTAACAACCACACCAGTTCTAAAGGTGGTCTCACCTGCCTGAGACAATAGGCAAAGAGAGTGAAAGGTTAGTTTGTACCATTGCAAGTCTGGTTTCCAAAATAAGCTGAAATGACTTCTGTCGCCATGTGTAGTTGAGCTTTAGGACAGCCCACTTTTAAAGCAGCTGATCACAATTAACGCCACCACCTATTCAGGCTACAGAGAGCTGCTCTGTGGCTAAAAGCAGCATGAGTTTTGCAATGGACACATCACTGACCTCGTCCTCCAACACTGGAGGCAGGAGAGGAGGGCACAGGGCACAGTATGCCTGTAGCTATTTGAGGGGACAGCAATTGACAGAGAAGAGGGGCCCAGCAGCGGCCAGCGGGTCCCCAGCTCTTCCCAGAGTTCTGCTCCGGGTTAGACATCTCCCCCGTACCTTTTGCATGGTCTTTATCCAGCTGATTCGCCACTTTCTTCCATTCCTCCATCTGCTCTTGAAGTGGGTTTATCAGACAGTCAATCAAAGCGCTTTTTGCCAAAAAGAGAAAGACAAAGGAGAAATGAGAGCTCAGATACAGTATGCTGTCCGGATTCATACTTGCTTGTCAAAACACACCAAATGACAATTACCTAAAGCAAGAGAGGCTCTAATGCTAGATGGCAAGTTCATGATCTAAATAAATCCGCTGGCTTCCAGCTCAGAAACAGCTTTGTCCTTACAAAGATTTTCAATGACTATTAAGCAGGCGAAGAGATTGAGATTGTTCACAACTTTGTCTGCATGGCTCCACAG